CACTAGCTCCACTAGCTCCAGTAGCTCCACTAGCTCCAGTAGCTCCAGTAGCTCCACTAGCTCCAGTAGCTCCACTAGCTCCAGTAGCTCCATCACCACTGCCTTCATGTGCTTCAGTTCTTGATTGTTTAGTTGGACAATGAGAAGACTTTTTAAATGAAAGTAAATTAAACTGTCTTTTCAACATTTTTATGGTTATTATTTTGACAAATTGGCACCATTGTTTTGAACATGATTACCCATCAAACATTTCTCTCATATTTTCTATATATAATCAAAATCTTATTAATGACCCACTTAAACTGTAAAACTGATTTGAAATTTAGTTGTGCTGTTTAATTATATTTGTGTTTTTAATTAAATTGCCCATGATTTTTAGGGGCAGAGATTTTTTAAGGGTAGACGTGGAAATGCTTATTGAGGGGGAAGCTCTTATGCAATATTAGGACGCTCGTTAGTGGCTGTTATGTTTAAAACGAGTGTTTATGTAATTATTTTCAGATTGCATATCCAATATAGGTTTTATTCATTCAAGGGAGTCAAATTTGTTCATAAGTTTATTATTGGTAAGCCTGAGAGTTAGCGGATCCAAGCAAACAGCTACTGGAACACACCCTGGTTCCTGGGTCCTGTTCTGGCAGGAGCTGGATCAAATTAAGCCCTGGTGTTGGATCAAACTTCGTTCGTTTGCAAAATATCTCAAAAGTCACTGGCTTGATTTCAATAAGTCATTATTAGATGTGCATAAACAACTGATTTACAAACTTTAGCTAACACAGAATAACTTTGGTCAGTTTCCAGATGTTGAGCTAAACTTTGGTGTGGTAGTAGCTAAGAGTTATCCCCAACACGTACCCAGAGTGTTAACTGATATTGAAAGCTTTTGTTTAAAACTTTGATGTTCGAGGCAACAGATGTTGGCGTCACGCCCCAAGATCAACCACCCCATCTGGCCACCTGTTTAAAACTTTCTGTAGGCGTCCCTGAATGCACCAGGATGGACATC